TCCTGCTCTGAAAACCACAATCACTTAAATCAAAGACTATAAAATTCCTTTTAGCAGCAAGACCCACATCTTCAGTGATTCACATTAAGGACAACAGTTTCTCCAGGGAGAGGAAAAAAGCCTGCCTACCCCATGGGAGATCACAGATGCTCTTTCACAGGAAGTCATTTAAATGTAGCCAGGAAAAAAATCAGGTTTCACTGAGTGAGCTTTTTCAGCAGAAAAGCTTAGAGATGAAAGCAAAAATATAAATTATAGTTCCCTCAGTAGAATAAACAGTAGGATTACTGGCAGGGCATTCAATGCAAGTCTCCAGAAGATGGTCCCTCTCAGCTGAGTTTAGTCACCTCTAAGCATAAACCATGTATTTCTTTTTGTTAGGGCTTTCAGAGAGAATACGAAAACAGGCATTAGAACTCTTTTGTTGAAGCCAGCATTAGTTATTTTCAGCTGTACTCTATGAAATAGATATAGCAATGTCACTCTTGCAAACTTATGGCAAAGCTGTCTCCCCAGAGCTTTGAAATAGATTCAAAAAAGCACAGCAGGTGTTTTTTTAAAAACAACCATAAGACTGGCCTAAAGCATACCAAAGATGCACAGATTTTTGTGGTTTGAAAGTGATGTAGAGACCATAATCTCACAGAGAGGTAACTAGACACTACGAGTTATTAATTACATGAGATCAAGTAATTACTCATTTAAACAGCAGAATTTGGTATTTTCTCCACATCTTGATCTTGCATACCCATCTTGATCTCTATACATATTATACATGGTACTCAAGGAATTCACTTCAAAACAAGAAAGCTAGGTTTAAACAGCAATATAAAAATGGAAATGCCCAGGAAAAGAACAAACCAACCTCTGGACTGGGCAGCAGGGGGCTGTTCTGTGAGCACAGGTACACAGGGCTGCATGGGCAGGAGCTGGATGTGACCTCTCAGAACTCCAGTAGAAACACAACAAGGTTCTGAGCATACCTACTTTAAATGCAAACATTCTCTATCCTCTGCTTTGATGTTTTATAAAAAACACACAAGGTGTTCAAGGTACCCAAAAAAATTCCTGTGGCTTGAGTTGCAGAGCTAGAAAAGCACTGTGAGCTTTTCTAACATGTAACATTGTAACACCATGACAACACCAACAGGGATCCCAGGACTGCCCTCCATGCCCAGCTTGCTGTTCTATAGCACCCAGAGACAACTTCACCTTAAAATAAATCTGATAGAAGAGCAGTGAGATATCACAAAGCATGATTGATTTAACAGCATTTATATGCTGTTTTAACCAGCTGATCAATGCATTTAATACTGAATTGTAAGATTTTCTACAAGGCAGTGTCTGCCCAAGGGCTCACAGCAGATTCCAAGGAGATCCTGGTACCTTGTGCATTCCCCCCTCACATCCCACTGTGGCCAATGAACAGTGCTGGAGTTCCACAGCCCCTAGTCCCTGCTGCACCACCAGTGAGGAGCATCTGGCTTCCATCTCTTTTACAAGAACCCCCAGAGGCAGGTGATGCTTGCCCGCTGCCCAGGACTCTGGTTGGTTTGTTCACTACAGCCTGTGTGTGTTATCCTTTTGGGACGGTCCCAGAGGGGCCCAGTGGAGCAGGGCAGCAGACAGCACTGGTGTTGGCTCAGGGCTCTGGGGGAACCCCTCAGGCTCCATCTCTCCCCAGGAGCCCCATGCTCAGACCAGGAGTGCCAGGGCCCTGCCCTTGCACAACCAGAGGCTCTGCAGGAGCACCTACCCCACACAGCCACATCAGCCCCACCTGGGGCAGAGAGCCCCACAGAACACACCAGGCCTGCATTCCTCATCTCTGCCAAAGGATTACTTAGCTCCAGGCTAATAATTGAAAGATGCTGGGATTTGGAAGCCCTTTAAGAATCTTTCTAAATTCCTGTTGGAACATTTAGGTGGCTAAGTAAGTGAAAAAAATGTTAACATTAATTAAAAAGATACTTTTTAAACTTGAAAGCCCCTATGAAATAAAGCTTTCCTTCATAATGGAATTCTAAAACCTGCTGATAAAGCAAGTGGAAAATAGTTTGCAGGTTTAGGGACACCCACATGAAGCAGGAAATGCTGCTAATTAAAGCACCTGATTTCACTTAAGTCCAAAGAGTCTGTTACAAAAGACTGGAAAGCTCTACTATTGAAGTCAACACCACTTAACTTCCTAAACTATGCCACTTAAAGATTTAAGATGCTTCTTTTAAGTATTAGTGATGTTGAAGTCTGCAGAACATCTTGTACAATGTAGTACACCCCAATTTTCTATACCAGCATTAGTCCAAAGGAGACTAAACAAAACCCTGTGTGTAAGCTACACCAAAGTGCATTGAAGGGAAATCCTGATCTGCACAACCAAGGCAGCCTGTCAGCTCACACTAATCACATCTTGTCTGGCATGATTGGACTGTATTATTCAGAAACTTCAAAGAACTACAAAACAGCCTGATTAGTTGTATTTTTTTTTATTAGGTTTATTATGACTTAGAGTTTCTATTACTCCAGCTGGGTAAACCACATTCGAAAGTAAGTTTAACTGCAGGACTTCAATTTCAACCAAAATCATTTTTGCATGACTTTATTGTAATATAGATTTCAATTGAACATTTAAAACTTACTTCATTAATAAGCAAGCCAAGCTCAGTAGCTTCAGTGCAGATGTACTTTATGTAACTGCCGCACATTCAGGTTAGATTGGATGTACACGGAGAAGAGACCGGGCAACTGCACGAGTCAGAGGAGAAAGCAAAAGTAAGCACCATTTGTACCAAACTAAACAGCTCTCCAGTCAGTGTTCCCTACCAAAAACCAACTCACTTCTGGCTCCAGGAGCTACAGTTTGGATATAGCTGAAAGCTATTTCCAGAACATCAGTTTTCTACACTGGCACAAGAAATAGTCTTCAAAGCAACAGGTACTGGACTTCTTCTTTATTTTTTTTTTTTTTTCAGAGACAACCTGTTCTCCTGTGTTTATCAGATGAATACATGCATTTTTGATCACTCTGGCAGAGGTCAAAGAGCAAACAACAGTTGGGGCTAAATGAAAAACAATCAAAAGTTGCCAAGTATTTAAGGTACAAGCAAAAAAAACATTAATGCAACCAGTTTAATATCAAAGTCTGCTTTCTTTCAAAGAAAAATGGCACAAATTAAATAAGAAGCCAGACAAATTTAGTTTTAGATGGTAATAGACTGAATTAATGCTTCAGAGCATCAACAAAATTTATTCCACAGCAAGAAAGGGGAGAAGTAATTTCAACAGGCTCTGTATTTGGGCTAGACCAGCAGCACTGCTACAGCTCAGTCCCTGTGTGCAGGACTGGTCCCAGCACGATGTCACCTTTACCACATCAAGAATAAAATGTGTTAGAAGTTGCAGAGCATAAGCATCTTACTTGTACAAGCCAGTTAAAAAATAAACAGAAGAGCTGAAGAATGGTTCTCACACCTGTCCTTTCTGTTCAGGACTCCACCTTTCTTTTAGAAAGAAAAATCCCTCTGCCAATAGTCTAATAAATACTAATGTATATTCAGATACCATCTTCAAAATCTTTGCTGAAAATGCAGTCTCCAAAAGAAACTAGCTTTATGCAGTATTAACATCTTACATAAACTAAACCTTATGAATTGTAGTTAATAGCAGTAACTGAAATTAATGTATACTGAGTTTCAAGTGATGTGCAAGTTCAGCTATGTAACACAGGTGGGTGTTGGAGCAGTTCTTAGCACTTTTCTTTGGACACTTCTGACAGCTGTCCATGAACTGCAGAGCCTCTTGCTACAGTACTGTGCAACTACTGACTCTTGGGTGTAAAGAAATGTGATGGAAGCACCACAAGGCAAGGAAAGCAGGCTCAAGTAGAGAGCCTTGAGTATCTCACACAGCATTGCTGTCTTGCCTTGACTACAGACATCGATGAGAGGGTAAAAAGGGCAAACCTACAGTGAAGGCTGCTTCAAACAGCAAAGATAATACAAAAGAGATCTGACTCTACAAGCACGTAAGCAAAAGTCTTGAAGAGCTGTGTATTAACATGGAGCTCAAGGTGCCTTAACTTTGCCAGAAACCACAATTCTTAGTACTGGGAATCTAGCAGAACTACATTTAATCCCAGGATCAACCTATGCTTCCAGTTAAAGCATGCATACCACCTCTCTAAATACCCCTTTCCCAACGTGCAGGGTTGGAGCTCTCCATTTTCTTATTCTTCCTGTGTTGTCCCTTTCCAAGGCAGAGATTTAGAGGCCCTAAAGCCAGAGCTCTCCACCAAAGAGAGAGAGCTCCCTCTATGTATAAAAATAGTCAGGACACTCTGAGACTGACATCTGTCCTTCCCCATTCAGAAACAGATTTGCAGCAGATCAGTCTTGATCTCTAGTTCAGTTTTAGACTATGCTTAAGTTACGGCAGCCAGAGTTCAATCCTATGAATGTAAGCTAAACACAAAAAGAAAGCCATTTATCCTTTTTAATTCATGCTTACAGCATGTTTATCCAGAGTTTTATAATCAACTTCCAGTTTTAAATTATTTTCTTAGCACTTCACAGAACCTGCATGTCACTCCCTCCTGAAGGGGATGGCATCACAGAATCTTGTTTAAGTTAGTCCAAGTTTCCACATGTGACCAGAAGTCTTACTTGTTAGAACACACCCCTTTTCCAACTATTCCCCACATTCCCTCTCCTCCCACCCCTCCCCAGCAATGGGCAATTACTTCACAAGAAATATAAAATAGGATATGGGTGTACACAAAACCTACCCTTCACTAATACTGAACAGAAAAGCCTATTTTCCAATTACAGGACATTTTTCTCTAAATTTAGGTCAGCACTGGTGCAGTCTGCACTGTGTATGATTACCACAAGGATAATACCAATAAGTACATATATTTTCTCAAACTGATTTAAAAGCCTATGAAGTTAATTGGGGAAAAGTTTAATATTGCTACTTCAGAGCACTAGAACACACAAAGTGAATCCAATAAAGATCCTTGTATTGATTCAATATTAAGTATTAATTGCATGACCATCATAGCACCTCTTTACATTATCACACAATCACCAGAATTATCAACTGCTTTTAAAACTAAAAAGGGTACAGTCCAATATTTATAACTTGCACACTGTTACTATACAGAAACTAGGTGCATGGTACAGTGCTGCAAAAATGGAAGCCTGCAGTTTTGACAAAGATGCCAAGTCATGTTGTAGACAATTTCAGTCAAACTGGCAATACTGTTTAAGCAAATACTCAAAGCAGGAAATAAAGGACAAAAAAAAAAAAAAAAAATTCTATAGCCAAATAAACATCTGAAATTTCCTTTCCCTTTAATAATACAAGTAAGGTCACTTTTAGCCTTGGAACAGATACATGTTCGCCTATGATGATCTTGCTAACTACTACACAATATCTGATGTCCTCTGCTAAGAATATAGTTTAAGAAAGCCGCAGTTACAAGAGGCATCTAATGTAATATCTAAAATTTCCTTTATGGCATTTATTGAATTCTTTGTCTTAAACAGTGAATATGGAAAGATGGCCTCACGTTTCCTTTTCAATAGTACTCTGAGGATCAAGTGGCTTTCAAGCAGCATGGTGGGTTTGAAATTTTTGCAGTTTAGATCATTCTGTTGCGTTTATGAGTTGGTGAGTCTGTAATGACATCGCCACACTGGGCTGAGGTACGCTTTCTAGTTCCACCATTGTCCAAGTGGAGTGCCATTTCTTCTGATATGAAAGTGTTCAAATCAACATCATGGAGTCCATTTCTCCTTCGACTAGCATTGGAGCCACTGCTCACGTGAGTAGGCGAGCCTGGGGTACTCGAGCGAACACTTATACTAGCCATTGCACCACTAAGACCTGGGGAGAGAGAGAAAAAGGGCTTCAGTCAGACAGCACAGACAGTTCAGTCCCCACAGGTGCCACACAGGGCTGCACTCAGCCCCATTCCACAGAGACCTTAAAGGCACTTCATCCTGCTATTCGTACCACTCCAGTCCAGAGCACACCTCCTCAGCTTTCAGCCTGCGCAACAATCCAGTAGTTACCAGAACTGCTTTTTATGATGTTAAAAGTGAGCCTGTACACCAGGATGTAACAGCACACTCTGAAAAACTTTAACTCCATAGGCATGACACGCTATTCAAAACAGGGGCATACTCGAGAGCAGATAATCTCAATTTAAAGAGACTCACACTGGACCAAGAGTTACCCAGCCCTGCGAAGGGCTTGAGTTGAACTGACCTGGTCTTGTGTCAACACCACCACCCTGCTCCCTTCCACTCCCTGAAGGAAACTGCACTGTGGCAGCAGGTCTCAGACAGGTGTACACCACAGCCAGTTCATAAATACAACTTTTATTCCATGGCTAACACCAACGGCCAACACAAAGCATTATTAAATCCAGAAATGCACTTAAAGAACAAGCAAGGAAAACCACATGACAATCACCCAAAATTTGTTATCAACAGTTCTGATGCAAATCACTGTCACAGGTACCCTGCAAGTACTTTGGTTTGTATTCAGATTAATAGTATTTGAATCAAACTGAAGCTTATTGTAGAAACAAGGCCATAAAAAGACAACCATGAACTTCCATACTAATTTAACCTCTGCCTTCTGTAACACTACAATTTTGCAAAAGTGGGGCATTCTGAAACATAAATTTAGTAAGGACTAATACACAAAAGTCTAACTAACTACTCTTCTCAATTTCCAATTCAGGCTGTATTTGGGGATAAACAGGAGCTCAGAGATAAGACAAACATCTTTACTATCACAACTTTTCCAAACCTGAGTATTAGTAGAAGAGTACAGAAACATCTGTTGGCCGTAGGAAAGATAAGGATAGATCTGCATATTTTCTAACAATAAGAACAAGGAAATGCTGAACTGTCCAGGAAGATTCCTCTCTCAGTAACCTTCAAAATCTTAAAGCTCCCTTCTCCAGTCTCAAATATTCCATAATTCTGTCCAGCCATCACAAACCTTGTGCATGCACTAATTCCCATCTCCATGGACTGTCAAATGAGCAGCCAAAAGCCACTGACTGACAAGTCAAGCCTAACAAAGCCCAATCCACCAGCTGCTGGCACACCAAATAGGCAGCTTCAGAGGCTCTGGGAAGAGAGGATTGCTAGAACTACAACATCAGTCACCAGAAACCTCAGGGAGAAGCTGAAGTCTAAAAGCCATCTGCAGCAAAGGCAGGCTGATACACAGGTCAGGGTGGAGCAGCCCAGCCAACTTCACTCCACTGAACATTACTGGATGGACATTTAAAACTTCCAACTTGTAACAGCACAGGAAATTCTTCACACAGATCTGGCATTGCACAACAAACCAGTACACACAGCCACTAATCACTGATTCTTTCTTAGGGCTTTTGCTTACAGCTCCAAGTGGTGCTCAAACAGGGCCCAGAAGCATGGTCTGAACTCCAAGAGGCACCCTGCAGATTTTGTTAATAGCAAAATCATTGCTCATTCACCATGGCAGAAAGTATTTAAGCAGAAGAAGCTGTTTTAGTGTAAAGGTAACTTAGAAATAAAGTTTGTGGCAGTATTCCCAGAATTAAGGTCGAGCTTAAATTCAAACCATTAGGAAAAGAATTTCCCATGCATCCACCAAATAAAGTCATGCAGCTAAAGTTGATGACAAATGTTTGAGAAAAAGCCAATTCAGATACCATATCCTGGATAAACTACTAACATAGACAATTTGGGCAGATAACAAATCACTTCACAATTCAAAGACATCAGTAGTTTAATTTCCACTGGCATGACATACATCAGAAAAAACATTAATTCATCCTGTACATTTAAATTGGAAAAAATCTGACAGCATACAGGTGACATTTTTTCAAATCCAAACTGATTGTAGAGATTTCCCCCACATCCCTATTCCAAGCAAAACTGCTGTGACCACACAAGTTCAGTGTCATTACTTACACTTAAGAGTCAACAATTTACATCACTTATCAGTCATTTACTGCTATACAACTCATACCAAAGGAGCAACATAGTAATTCAATTTTACCATGACATCTTTTTACTAGATCTAGTGCCAAAGTAAGGGCAGAAAAATTATTTAAATAAGCCCCAAAACTGACTTGCGAAGTCAAAAGACATTTTTTGGCACCACTCAACAACTACGTTTTTAAGTGGAGCCTTTTCAAGTAACAAGCATTCTTTAAAAGAGTTGATACAGCTAAAAGATGTATCTGTAACACACTGCAGCATATTCTAAACCAGACTGCCAAAGTTCACAAGCAATGCCTAAAGCAGTCACTGACTTCCCAGCATTTAGGTAATGCTGAAGCACTGTACATTTAAATACACAAACAACCTTCAGCAGATAATTACAAGTTAAAATCTTCAAGTCAACTTAGTGTCTAAAGCAGGAGAGTAGCTTTGAATTAATTCCTAGAGATCAGAACACAAGGATATTGCATCACAGCATGGGCTCTGAGCTACAGGTTAATCTTGCAGCTCACCCAGGTATTTAGTACCAGTCATGGCTGGGTACTGACAGACTGACAGCCTCAGCTCCTGGCAGTGAACCACATCACACAGCACTGCCCATCCATCCAGAAGGGCAGAACTGCCAAATGAAACACTCAGATCACAGTTTGGATTTGCACATTAGGATGGGCTAATTGAGCTAACACGGAAAAGTCAAAGCAACACAAATATCAAGATGCCACTACATGGAACCAACACCTCTGAGAACAACCTGCAATGCTCAAAAAAATCCACTTTTAGTCAACAGGGAAAAGAGTTAAGCTTTTCCTTAGGAAGCTCTGGCAAGGCAGAGGAAATCTCAGAAAAACCATTTACTGTGAATTACTCTGAGTTTAAGCTTTCAGCAGACTCAGAGCTCTTCCCAAAGCATTTGAAGCAGTAACTGGCACTAGGAAGTGGTAAGATGACATGACTGTCAGCAAACACCACTTCCCAACCTCAAATTTCTGTATTGTGATTAATATGGCCTTAACCACAGGCACAGCAGTTTTGTCCATACAAAAGGACAGAGACCCAAACAGCTGCTGAAGTGGCTTCACTTCTCCCACAATCTCACACCCACCTCTGAAGTTCCCCACTCCTTTCTACCAGGGACATCTCCTTTATTCTTGGAGGACTTTAAGAAGGCCCACATGGCTCTGACCCCCTTTTGAGTTGGAAAGGTTTCAAGTGGAAGGCAGATCTCAAACATTTTGCAGTACCAAGTACATTCTCATTCCTGTTATATCTTTCATTAACAAAGTAACATTTCACAGACAATGACTTTACAAAGAATTATATTTTAAAAGGTCTTACACTACCATTAGAAGGAGCTGAGGCCAATACTCCCCAATTTATAACTAAGTACACTCCAAAACTATCAAGATATTAGAATGCTTGACTGAAAATATGTTTCATGGAATACAAACTACTTACAACTGTCAACTCAAAATTAGCAAGTTTATCACCACTGGCCTAACAAACTGTAAATGCTGTTTCATCTGCACTACAATCATGCCCATGTACAACTTATTCAGGTCACTATCACAGCATGATATACTGGGTAGCTACTGTTCCATATAGTACCAACTCTGTTTCCAGAAGTTTTAATCAGGAAGTATCACAAGGAACATTCATGCTTAGGCAGTGTGACTAAAGCAGGAATTAGTTAATAACCCCAGATAAATAGAAAATAGCATGCAGAGAGATCCTTGTCACTCCTCTGTCATATTCACCCTTCCATAATACTGGCTCAAAGAGCAAGTTTTAGCAGCACATACCAATACACAATTCCATCACAGCTATATTTACATACAACCTTTAAATTAATCTGTGTCAAACCAATCTGAACTCTGTTCTCCCATCCCCTCTTTTACCAGCTGCTGCTTCTCCACTCTGCTAAGTGCCCCTGTTTTAAACTGCACTTCAATATTCTGAGAAGCAAACATAAAGGCCTAGTGGGAATTCAGACTCCTAAGGGGCCAGGTCACAAACTTCTATGTGCAAGTGCTCTCCCTGCACCACAGAGACCAAATCACATGAATTATACACATCAACACTAAAGCTAAGGAGAAAAAGAACTCATGTTCTCTCACTGTACTGTTGCCCTATTTTTCCCCAAATTCACCTAATTTTTGATTAAGAATGCTCAAGCCAAATGCATTTCAACATTACCTTTCCAAGTTTGCTTCTTGCCCCTCCTGAAATCTCAGCATTTTCTCCCATTTTGCTGGGAGGATGGTGAGTTAAACACAGAGCACATGCCCAGTGAAAGACAGGGGCTGTGCACCACCCTTGGTACAGCAGCTCCAGCCAGGCACAACGTGGCTGAGCACGTGGCAGTGTTTGGGAGTCTGGTACTGTTAGCTCAGATTGATGGAATTCTGTCATTTGAAACTCAGCTCTTACAGAACTGGAAATGTCAATACACATCCAGAGAGTAGGTGAAGACACATCCATACTTTCCCTGGCTGCAATGACATTTCAGGGACTAATGGAAGTTAAAAACCCAACTCTGTAATTGAGATGTTGGACAATAAAGGTATTATCTTCTACTACCATATCTTAAAACACCAAGCATTAGACTGATGTTTCATTAAAGTTTCAAAAAACTGCACTGGCACTCCAGAGTAAAACATCATGTATTACCTTGAGATAACTACTCAGCTTTTCTAAAAGGCTTGAACTTCTTTTCAAATATTCACAGTTCAAGTCATCAGCCCTGCTTTATTTCAAGGTTACCTATCAGCATGCTAACAGTGAAAAGCTGATAATAAGGGAAAAGATGCTGTTTACCAAAATTTGCTCTCTCAAGAGTAAGGTTCCAAAGTCTCCTTCTCACTAAGTAACACTCAAGAGTTCAGTAACAACTGCAGAGCATAAGTGCTATGGAGTTAAAAGAACAGGGACATCACATCTTAAACATTGTCATGCCTAATTTTTGCCATGATAATTTTGCTTTTAGCTGCTACGACAGGTTCTTCTCTGCTGTTCTGCTCTCAAGTTTTCTTGTAGTACAAAGACTTGATAATCAGTATCACAAGATTAAATTCTAGGGTCAATATCCTGCCCAAAAAACTGTCAACCATCTTGCAGAGATAAAATACAGGTCCAGAGGTTACAGGGCTGGAGACAAAAATTCAGTTTTAAGATATTTCTTTTGAAGCATACAGTTTAAAGATTGTACTGATGCCTAAAGGATGCTAATCTCTAATGCTTTAGTCTAGGGCATACACCTAGAACTGTGTTTGATGTTCCAGGAAATACTGAATTATTAGCTATTTTGTTACCACTGCTTCTGTCAAAATTTTCAGATGTGCTTATGATGCATTTAGGGGTTAGATTATGAAAAAGAGGTATTTTCCACCATCAAAGGGGAAGATCAGCAAGCTATAATGCCATGATCTTTAGACATATAATAGTACCTATTTCTGAAAAGTCAATACCCCAGCTTCCACTTTACCTGGTGCCATGGGCTATTCATATCTATCCCTGTTTTACTAAAAGAGGTCTTGCTGCAAGCAGCAAAGTTTTAGCATCATCCCTCAAATCTAATTTAATCCATCCACATGATCAACAAATATTCTATTCCCACCAGAAGCCAAGCAGCACAAAACAGCCTCCCACCTTTACATGCCAGTTGGAAACTCCTCTCAAAACCTCTGTGCCTGGACTGCTCCTCACTATCATCAGGTTCTCATGTTCCCTCGTGAAACTCAGAAGCAGCACTTTCAAACAATGTGCCAAAAATTATGATAAGCACAGGCATAATTTACAAACACCTGAAGATCCTTGGCAGGTTTCAAAATCAAAACATAGTTTTGAGAAGCCCTACAATAAATAGGAAATGAGTTCATGAGATTGCTTAATCACAACTTCCTTGAAGAAAAAAAAAGGGGAGAAGCTGGAGTAATGCAAACACTGTAGGCAATAACCTAAAAACAGGTATGAGGCCCAACAGAAGCCTAGTCACTAAAGGATTAGCACAAAAGCATTTGTGTCAAGGACCAGATTGAAACTGATATGAGGAGAACCTAATCCAGAAGGTGACTGACATGCAATCTTGTCAACCAGCTGATGAAGGGGAAAAGTACATTTTGAGCCCCTGCAGTACCACTACAGAGGACAGAACTTCCTCATGACCCTATATTACACCATGAAATATGGAAAACATATATATATATCATTGTTCAGATCCTCATGCTACAGAAAAGTGACTTCCATAAACCAGCTCTGTACAAAGCAGATGCTAGGAAGCAATACCTGGACACAAAAAGAGCCATGCCAGCAATAAAAATGCCTCTGAGTTTATTCAGAGAGTTCACTGTGCTGAAGTGAGCCTACCTAAGCTTCCTCTCACCTGAGACTGAGCCTTTCCAGTTAAATCCAACTCCACAGATTCAACTATCTTTACAGAAAAGCATTTTTACGAGGGTGCTTACCACAGCCAGAGCCACCTTCTGCAGCTGTTCTCATGAAATTAATTTTATCTACACTGAGTAAGCAACAGTGGTGCACAGAATTCCCTAGCCTCCTTCTGTATGAGACAGGAAACTGCCAAAACCAACATGACTGAGTAGGGAAGCATGTTTGGTTTAAATGGCTGTCACCTAGACAGTAACAGTGTCTGGACTGGGCATCTTTAAAAACCACCAGAGCACAGCAGAAGCCAAATCTGCATTTTCAGGAATTCATGCTCCTAATTAACCCATCAATTCTACCCCACACTGAGAACATCCAGACAGCAAAAATTTAATTTAGGTTGCACTTCTAGATAGCTTCATTTTCATTTTTAGAATGTCTAGGGTTTGTACCTCAAGGTATCTGCTACCCTTTTGAATTTTAGAAGGCACAAAACCCAGAGGTGAACTGCCCCATCTCACCTCAAGAGCAGTTTAAAACACATCTGGCTATCACTTGCTCAATCATAATCCAATACAGAATAAGCTACTGAATATTCATCTCTGAAAAGAGATACACCCAACACTGCTGGTGATGGCAAGGAAGGCAATTCAGTATGACATGGAAGACATGTAAATCTGAAAGTGAACTAGAGCAAAGTTCTGAACAGGACTCAGTTATTTCAAAAATGTGTAACTGAAACACCCTTCCCAGGGTACTATTAGTAGAATGCTGAACTGCATTAGTGCCTAACAAAGGTACTAGAGAGCTAGGGACAGAAGCCTCAGACATCAAATTCCCTCCCTAAGCCTCCAAAAATTTGCTAGTAGTCAAATCTTAATATTTAACTAGTTGCTAGCAGAGCATTACCATTTTCCAAGAATTCTGTTTACTTTAGCATTGCTATGAATGCCAAGTCTCTTCATGCTTCAAAAACACTACAAAGACTTGAAACTAAACTGCTGAGTTCACAGCTGTGCAATATCACAGACCCAAATTTCATTTTTATTCAGTACCTTTTCTTCATTGAAAATACTCAACTATACAAGTTTTTAGCAGCCAACACATGCCTTATACATGCAAAAGTTCCCTTAAAGAATGAAGGGGATACCTTCAGCTGAACACCAGATACATGACACACATATATATGCCAAACACACCTTAAAAACCCCCACCCAGTGTTAACCAAGTAGTATTGAAAAAGTGGCAGTTACCATGCAGAGCTATGGCTTCACGGAAGGGTTGCAAATCAGTCTCTACAGATGAGCTAGTTTCTGTTGAAGTAGCTCGGTTAGGGGATACTACAGTCAGTCTTGGGGGAGCTCTAGAATTTCTTGGAGGAGGGACTTTTCCACAAAGGAAGCTGATTAAGTCTTCTCTTCGAATAGTTCTTCTGCGTTTTTTAACCCAGGCTAACACATCCTTATTCCGGCGCTGATAGCCAATCTGGATTCCTAAATCAAAGCTCCGCTGGTGGGCATCCACACTCTCTGCAAGAGGACAGAAAAATTCTCTGAGTGTTACACAGCAATGTACAGCACAGCACTGATGTGGCCTCCTGCCAAGCATGGCAAAGAAGATCTACATCGTTACAGGGTACACCATAAGGCAGCACCAAGGTGGCTGCAGCAGCAAAGAGGAGTTCCATTAAACCTGAAGAGAGTATTAGCCAAAATGCTCCATCCTCTTTACATGTCAGATAGCCAACAGCAACTCCAGCTCCACTTAAACAGCATTTACTACACTTCAGGTCAACACCACAGCACTGTTTATTTACATTAAAAACACACTTAGAGCTTGTCAGGCTAAGGAAGATATTAAATCAATGGACAACAGACTTAGACACACACAGTGCATCAATACAGCAGGAAGCCCAAAATAAGAAAGTAGTAACTGCTTTTCTTCATTCTGACAGGTAAGGAACTGCCAGAAAACTCAGGATTTCTTTCAAGTTCTTCTATTTTCAGCTGGATTTCAATTGCAGAGGCAATTCACAGGCCACAGTTTTGAAACTAGTTAGAACACAAGTGTCCCCAATGTCTTTCAATCAGCCAACATATCATTTACAAAGGCTAAGAAAGTTTCCTTCCCCATTTAGGATCCCATGGCAATTCTGATATAGAAGAGTTTTAAACACACAATTTACAATAAATCCTACTACAAAATGCAATTTCCCTCTCTGTTAATGTAACTAGTCACCTGTGCACATCAGTTATAGCTGTGTCTCCAATGTATTAGGTTGCTTTCAAACTTTGGGAAGTGTATTTCTGGCTAGCAGTTTGAGTAAGTTTCAAACCACAGTAACAGGTGGGACAAATCCTGTTCACCACACAATTATGCTCATCTTGTTTGTCACAGGTTTGCTATCAGAGCTTTGACAACACCCATTTCAGCTTCATGTGAAGTTTCATACTCTTATGTTGCTCTTGCTCCTTAAAAGACATGAACATATCCACTCCAATTTTGTTTACTTGAATTCCATAGATTTTTTTCCATGTGGCAAAGCTGATTTTAACAGCGTTTCATAATCTTGTTTTATTAATGAAGCCCACAGCAAAAGCCAGAAGATAAATGTATTTCTTTGAACAGCTATCCCAAAATATTGGTTTACAAACAATGACATACACATCTGATGTAGCTTTGTCACACTCCAGAACCCAGCAAGTACTACTGTTAAATGTTATTCTTGGACTTGTATTCTAAGGCACCACTGCACAGACCATGAAAGACAGCACTGAGAGCTACACTGCCAAAGAGCAGCACTTCAAACCTAACAACAGACCAAAACCACCTCAAACTGAGCTAAATCTTGGAGCTTTTGGAGTTTAAACTAAACAAGCAAACAAATGTAACTTAACCTGTTATTTGTATCCACTCTAAGAGTATTCTGCCTGTACTACTTTGTAATCCAAAGGCTACATTTACAAATGCTAATTCCTCTGAAAGCAATGGTAACATGACAGATTATTCCTCCTGCCATTTTCTACTGCACAGCAGCCTGGACTCCAATGCACTGGCAGCAAAAGCTGCCCAAACACTCTGGAGCCAACTTGGAAACTGAAAATACTCCTTTAATCACTTCCTGAAATACCCGGAGTGTCCTTCTGAGGCTTGGGGGCTGGCTTTACATCAATACCCTGCTTTCTTTGTGTATGAGAATGCTTTACAAAGTGCTAGCTGTGAACTAGGTGTGAGGTCAAACACTGACTGCTGATGCAGCCCAGAGAAGTTTCAAGCATCATTACCCCGGGTACATTAGATTTTTATGGGAAAAGCCACAACCACTTTGTTTACAAAGTTAAACTAGCACAACCTAAGCAATCAAGCTGCAGATATTCTGAAATTACTAAGTCAAAATAAACACTAGAAAATATTCAGGGCTTTTTTAATAAAAACAAGGTAAATTGTAGGCTCAGAAGTCTTATTCTAACATATACCTAGAACTTTCCATAGCAGCCTTAGGTTCTGAATCCTACATTAGAAGCCATGCCTTGACTTTTTTAGAGCAATCAAGATAATGAAGTACCTTGAATGCAGTCTCTATCACCAGCACCAGAAACTCAGGATGTGAGACCATCAGTGTGGTGGGATATTAAACTTCTAATCTATATTCAGAAGAAATGCTGACATTCAAGACATCATGGCCTTCTCATTATGCACCATTCCTCGGGTTGTTCTTGTTAAAAAGATGATGCCTCAAAACTCCAAGTATTTATCAGATCAGAAAGCAGCTGACAAGGCAAGAGGCAGTTTGTGGTGTTCAGTTCACCCTACCAAGTATTCCTCCAGTATTTTGACAGAGTCCTCCAAAACAAACAGTACTGAGAATGTGAGAAACAGGAGTTTTTTTAAGAGCCATGTTCACCACTAGGGAAAGCAAGCTCACAGTAAGAGACTCCAACGTGTCAGATGTGACAGTGTTCAGCTGGCTCTACCATGTTATCACCAAATTTCTACTGACTTGCAAGTTAGCTGAAAACTGAAAGATGGCATTCCTGAGTAACTCAGGTACTTTAGGACCTGTTTGAAGAAAACATTTGTTTCAGGTGCTGGTTTTGGAAGTATTACATTATACCTGACCAAAGTCAGCTTCCACCTTAAAGTCTAGTTTCCCCAATCACCTCCTCATCAGTTAATCACATCATTGCCAACAAAAAAGCTCATTTTGCCTACAGCAGAAACAATCTAACATTTTAACCAGAAATAAACAGTCTAAGTCTTCATAATAAAGATGCTGTAAGGGAGAGCTATTTGTAAAGACAGACTGTAATTATTCCAGACAATTTATTAACACTACCTGCTGCTACTCTAGCACCATTCTCAAATGACTATTGTCCCCAGACATGTTCTAGTGACCCACACCCTCAGGCCAGCACCTCCTGCTCCCCGGTGCTGCCCCTTCACATGACCTCACACACACACACAGCATTCAAAGGCACCTTCTGCAGGAGGCACCACTCTGGCAGGGAGGGCTGTGCACCCACACTTCCTCCTTGCTCTGTCTACATCTGTCAGAAACCTCATCACCCATCACAAACACATCAACTGCTTAAAGCAAATCCAAAACGACAAAACTGCAGGCAAATGAAGGAGCATAAAGGCAGAACTACAGATGATGCTGTACAGACCAAGGGGAAAAAAAAACCAAAACCAACTATAAGCCCAAAAAACCAACATTGTAATTTTAAAGCACTTCCCTTCCTCGGAATGGAAGGCAGTAACAATGGGAATCACAATGTGCCAATTTCAGCCCTCACTGATATGTATCATTTTAGCACAACCTTTTAAATAAAGTAAAAGCCACTGAATGAGCCTCCTGCAGACAAGAATTCCTGGGACAACCCAAAGAACTGCAGAGTTCAGAAACACCCAGTAAACCAGCACTAAAGCACAGCCACATGCAAAGCACACTCCTATCAAAGTTTTGGCTAACACTGCCTTCTTACAGCCATGCTGAACACAGACATAATGACATTTTAGTGCTTAAAATAAACTGTGAGGCTCACTTAAGAAGCCTCAGTGCCACAAGAAGATAAAAGTTTCTGTCACATAACATCTGTGCAGAATTTTATGAGCACTAAATCCGACTTTGCTTCACCACAAAAGAGAAGGCATTAAACTGACACCCCAACATCTAATGCACCATGAAATATAAACAATGCAGGGAATTTCAGTATGTTTAATAAGCCGTTGTACACTTCCCTTGAATTCTCAAGAAACAGACACATGTTAAAGATACCCTTTTTCAAGGGTCTCAAAGTAAAACAGATTTTAAGTTTATGAGTCATTAACATGAGGCAACAGAAAAGATTCAGCTACCGTCAGCTAAAGTGGACCAGGGAAAACCTGCAAGATTCAGGAAGCAGTCTCGGGTTAGATTTTATCAGGGTGAATAAGAGACATTAACAGGCCCTACTTATGAGTAAGCCGGGGCAGGAGGCAGAGTGGGGCCCGACTCGGCGGAGAGGGCTGCCGGGGCAGCGCGGGGGCAGCCCCTTACCTTTGTAGAGGTTGGTGACCGCAGTGGCGGCGTTCTGGAAGGGGACCCAGAGGGAGAGCCCCGGCTGCTGGCACACCCGGTCTGCAGGGAGGGAAGGACACACGCTGTTTATTTTGGAGTCACCCACTCCGAACGGCCATGTTAGGTTTCGCCATTTTGTTCCACCTTCCGGAGGCAGCTCCGGATCGGGGCCGAGCGGGGCGGGCGGGCAGCGGCCGGGACGGGGCAGCGGGCGCGGTGCCCCCAGCGCGGCGGGGAGCGCCCGGCCGCCCCCGCCCCGGCCCCGCCGCACAATGAGCCCGGCCCCGCTTCGCCATTTTGTCGGGAGTCTCTTCCCGGGGCTGGGCGTCGGGAGCCGCCGGCAGGGCCGGGCTTCCCAGCCCCCCCACCCTCCCCGGCGCTCGGGGCTCGCCCCCACCGCCCGGAGCCTCCCGGCGCTGCCCCCACCGGAGCGCCCCGACACCCCGCGGCCGCGCTCCGGCCCGAGCGCTCCGGCGGCCGGGGGAGGGGGTGCGGCCGGGCCGGCGCAGGAGCCGCCCCGGAGGCCGCGCCGGGCGCTGTCCGGGCCGCGACCGCGGCTCCCCCTCCCTCTCGCCATTTTGTTTTCCCGGCCGTCTCCGAGGGCGGCCGCGGGCCGGCACCGCTCCTCCCGCCGCCTCGGCCCCTTTGTACCGCTGCGGGCACCTCCCCACCCCGGCGGCTCCGCGGCTGCTCGGCGCCCCCACCCCCCACGGGCCGGGCCCCGAGCCCACCGCGCTCGGGCTCCACCGGCCTCCAGCCGCCCCAGCCGTGCCCTCCCCAAGCCCCTGACCGTGCTCACCCTTGTAGAGCTGCGCCACGGCGGTGGCCGAATTCTGAAAGAGGTGCCAGAGCTTCTGCTGCTTGTGCTCAGGCTGCGCCGCCGCCTCGTCCTGCAGCTCCGGCGCCAGCGCCTCCTCCTGCTCGGCCTCAGCCAGGCACTGCCGCTCCCACTTGCTGAACCAGTGCTCGGGCCCGTGCTCCTGGATCTCCGCCTCGCCCTCCTCCTTCTTGTCCTCCATCCTCCGCCCAGCTCCGCGTCCCACCGCCGCGAACACCCGGTCCCGACAGCCGGCCGCGCTCGTTCCGTGCGCCGGGCCGGCCCTACCTCACCCCCATGCCGGGCCTGCCCGTCGCTCCGCCGGCCCCAAACACTCCGAGCGCCGGCACCGCCCCGAGCGCACTGAGAGCCCAGCCGAGGCGCCTGGGAACGCGCAGCCGGCCCGACCCGCCCGCAGAGCTCGATTGGCCACCACAACCCCGGCACGGCCGGTCCGTACGGGAGCCCCAGCGCTCATTGGTCCGTTTACGTGTCCGTCACGCGGGACACCCCAGGGGGCGGGGCTAGCGCAGGTTTGGTTACGCCGTCACAGCCCCGTGCCGGGGGCGTCGGCGCGGTGCGCGTGCGCATTGCGCTACCTCGCGCGGCCCCGGCCCTGGCCCCGCCCCTGGCGTGAGGCGGCCCCGCCCGCGCCCCCCCGGCAGCGGCCCCGGGGCCGCCCCGAGCGGGCGAGGCGCTCTCGGCCTCGGGCGGCCCCGGCGGGCGCTGTCCGCGGCCGAACCGGGAGGTGGCAGCTGCCGCCGCGGCTCCGCTGAGGGGCAGAGCCCGCCCGGGAGGCGGTTCCCTTCCCGGCCCCGGGGGAAGATGGCGGCCGCGCAGGGCCCGAGGGCCGAGCCGTGTGACACGGCCGGGCCCGGGGCCAGCGTCCGGCAGAAACCGCTGAGGGGTTTGCCGCGAGAGTTCAGACCCACGGCATCACTTCTCTGCCTGTTTTACACATTATTTACCAGTTCTTGATTCTGCGCTGTAGCAGGCACAGTCCCAAACACCAGGCTGAATTCACAGCTGCTTTGCGCACGTTTAAAAACACTGTTCACCCCGCGATCCCGTCACTGGGCTGCCGTGCTAATGGAAATGCGCTTCCAGCTGCTCCAGCCGCAGCGAATGTCCCCGTGCTGCGGAGCCGGGCCCGGGCACAGCTGCCTGCACACTGGGGATTGCACCCGCTGTGCCCGGCTGCGCTGCCAGCCCCGGGCAGCCGGCTCGGGATCTGCCCCCACATCGCTGAACCGAGCACGGACACGCACCGGCAGCCTGGGGTGCCCATCCCAGCCAGGGCAGCCTGCTGTGCCCATGCCACCCATGGGGAACTGGCTGTGCCCATCCCACCCATGGGGAACTGACTGTGCCCATCCCACCCGGGGCAGCCTGCTGTGCCCATGCCACCCATGTGTCCCATCCCACCCCATGAAGAAGTACTTACCAGCTCTATGGGCTGTTCCCTCCTCAAAGTTTTATCCAGTCCATGCTTGTTCCCTTTTTGATCTTGGATGTTCATACAACTCTGTAAAACTTTCAGGAAATCAAGCCAAATCATATATAGTGGGAAAGAAGTGGTATGAGGGTGTAGTTGGAACTGATGGGTTGGGGTTTTTCATCTCTGAGGACAACTGAAAAGCTGCAGCTATTGTATTTCCTAAACCATTAGGACTAATTGCTAAGAGCTTCCTACTTGTGGGTTATGCCTTGGCACTCCATGTGAGTAGAAGGGGTAAGAGCACCCATAACTTTGTGCATGTCTCCTTAATCTGAAATTGTGAAACTGGCTTTTAAGTGTCTCAGATATATGACACTAGTGCACAAACACAACGGCATGGATATTCCTTTCCTTTCTGAGTAAAGCTCTGCCTATTCTTGTTTAAGATTATGAACTTCAGCCAAACTGGTTTTGTAAATCATCCATGGCTCAGAAGGGCACTGAGTACATATTGTGGTGCAACATGGATTTCTCCCCTGTGCAACTGGTTTAAGAAAAACAAGGAACAGAAGAGGAGATCTTCTCTATTGAACAGGGTTTCTTATAAAGTACCAACAACTTGGAAATACCCATTCCTCATATTCGTAAATTGCTGAAATATTGTAAAGCATCACACAGGAATGTTTGATAGGATTGTGTTCTAGTCTTTTCCAATAAATCAAGTACTGAAATTCATCTCCCTCATCAGAAACAGAGCAGAATTTCCTGTCAGCTTTCATGGGTTTTGCAGATGCTCTCTCAGATCAGAAGTTGGGGCAGGGAGCTTGATGGAAGAGGAGGAGACATGGCTTTTTGTACTTTGTGTACCACACATCTGGTTTTCTGACTATTTCTAAAGAGTTGCATAATGTTGGCAGCTGTGAAATAAACAGTTCATTCCTGCAATACAATGTAGTGTCAGTCATGATTTATCAGGCAGACTGTCCTGAAATTTGGCTGTGCCTGGTGCCCATTCAGTGCAAATCAAACAGGGAGCAGTAGTGCATCTCTGGGCAATCCTGGGTAAAAGTTTAGCCCCCGAATTTCCTGCTTTAATTTAGACAAACCTGGCTGCACACTGTTCTCAGGAGTAGCTATGGCTGACAGAAACTGCTGGGATTCTGGGGGTTGTTTTCCTTTCACACCTTACACCAGGTGGGGTGGACAATGTTGGAGTTGCTGTATTAATTGTTCATATAGTTTTGTGAAGTGGCCATTGGTGATCTCTGGGATGGTAATGGAGAGAGGCTTCACTGAGAATATAAGGATACTGAATTTTGAAATTAGAAAAATGTCATTTTTGGTAGAATAAAGAAATCTAGCTACAGACTTCTTTATGCCACCTGGAAATAAAAAGGGTGTTAGGGCCTTGGGAAAGGAGCCAAGCACTTTCTGGGACTAGAAGACTAATGTACCCAAAATGAGTCCTGCAGGTGGAGAAGGAGAATTAAATGGAGAATGAAGACAATATTGATTGACTTTTTGAGGTTATTTGTGGAGGAGGCAGCAAAGAAGAAAAACGAACAAAAGCACCGTGCACAAAACCCTTTAACACACCCAAACACTCTTTTCCCTGACACCTCCTAAGCAGCTCTGAGCAGCACTGATTCACTAAAGAATCTTTTCTCCCCAGAAATAAGGAACAAGTTTTGTGCTTTTGACCCACTGTCGGTGGCCTGGCACAAGCACAGCTGTGCTGGTTTTGGTGGCTGATGAGGGATTTGTAGGAGAGTCAGAGGCACAGAGACCACGAGGGCACTGACATGCACATGGCAACTGTAGAATCTGAGTAATCTTAGTGTTTTGCCTCTTAATTTCCCCCATGGGAATGCTGTAGTGATGAGAGCAGTGTGGCATCCCAACTGAAGTATCAAGGGAGATAATTACTGGAGCATGATGAGAATATGCTAATTGTAGAAGGCTCTGAAGACTTGTTTTATTCCCTTCTGCAGGCTCTTACTGGGAGTTGAATTTAATGATAAATAAGGGAAAACATTTTTTTTTTTACTATGAAAATATGGAATGGGGGAAGAAAAAGGGTCATTGATAATACAATCTATCCAAAGTGAACACTAACATTTTAAATTGTCTGAATGTGTAGATGGCTGAATATGGACATGGGAATGTTTTCACAGTGCTACAGCCAAACTTGGACACTTGAATAAGAGAACTTTCATGATATTTTATGAGGAGGAACTGAAGGGAGTAGGTATTCATTTCACCAAAGGAAAAAAAACAACTGAGTGACAATATTTTCATTTCTCTTCACCATTTTGTCCTTTGGGATCAGACTCTCAGTATGCTGTCCTCAGAAAAGCAGGTCAGCTGGGAAGGTGGATACTCAGCTGCAAATTGTAATGTTTCTCAGACAAAATTTTTCATCCTGGGGAAGTCCAACACAGTGTGGCTGAGCAAGCAAGCAGCAGGTATTTATGAGAAGTGTGGCTCACAGAGAACAGCCATGCACTGATTGTTGTATATCACATAATCAGGACAGTTTAGGCTGCTCCTGATGTGCTCAGATGAGTTTTATGTCTGCTGGCTGTTACTGCTGTTCCCAGCTGAAAAATGTGACAATAGAGCACCCTTAGTGCAAACACTTGATCAGTCTGAAACAGAAACCAGCTGAAAAAGGTTGAGAGCATCAAAGTATGAGGGTTCCTTATGGGTGCAAGAGCCTCGTATTCTCCTGGGTTTCAGTCAGGGAAGTAGAAAAGTAAGGAAATAGGATTAAAGGATTTCTTTTCTAATATGTGCTCCTAGGTAATGGTTTGCTCTGAAAAAATAAAACTTGGTAAGCACTGCAAAAAGGTTAGTTGCATGTTGGTTTGACTTTTAAAATGTTGATAACTTTAAATAAAAGAGGTATTAACAGCATCTACACCATTCTTGCAATTTCCTGAGAGCACTTTAGTAATAACACTTCTAATGCCATGATCAAAATGGTGTCACATAAAAGCAACTTGAGTAATGCTTGGTCAATTTGGTCTTGCCTAAAATAGTGATCCAGGGACTTTGCCCAAAATCTTCTCATTTTGAGAAGGAAAGCAGTTTGACTCTGTGAGAACAAGATTCTCCAAACCTCATGTCAGGGCTCTGATATCAAAATCATTTAACAATTAGACAAGGAGCAAGACTGTCCTTTTGCAGGGAACACCACATGACTCCTATGAGATACAGATCATTGTGTGACTTCAAACTCTACCAAAAAGAGTAGGAGACACAATTTTCAGTTTTACTGGGCAAGTACCTCACTACATATTTGATTTGGAAAAAAAAAATAAAGTCTTGGTAAAAAACCAATGTGGAGGTTATCTAAGTGTTTCCTTTACTAGTAGGGTAGATTATTTTCTCCAGTACCTTTGTGAGACAGGAAACCAGGGGGTTTTAAAAAACCTTGATGAAAGCAGAATCTCTGCATGTGAACTCATGATGGGGTGTTGGATATTTGGCACTGTGCAAATTACTGCAGCTGGCAGGTGTTTCAGCACTTGCTGTCATGTGTTGGTTGGAGGAGGAGCAGGATGCCAGAGGTCTCCAGCAGGTTGCCTGAATGCTCCCAAAGGCAGTTCTGAGTCACTGCAACATTTAGCTGCTCTCTTTTTATAGAGCCTCACAGACTATGACAGAAAACATAGTTAGCTCTATCACCCTTTGCAGAGTGCTTTGGAATTGCAGATTGTGAGAGTGTTTCTAAAACTAATCCTGTGCTGAGGTGGGTTTGTTTGTTTGTTTGTTTGTTGGCAGGAAGTCTCCATCCAATGTCTTTCTCTGAGCTGTCAGCAAACCTCCACACTGCCAGTAATGTCACATAACCCACCACTTGTGAAACTGAGAAATGGGGTCATAGGCAGAGTATGAGTTTATTACTTGCTTTGCTGGGTGCAGTCATGCAAACACATTT